CCCCAAAACCCCAAAACCCCAAAACCCCAAAACCCCGCTCGCAACAGTGAAGTTGATGATTATTACTGATTTGATTTCTTCCACATTTCAAAGGTATAGTCAATATCTGAGATCAGCCAGGGATTTACAGATTCTACAGCATTTTTATCTTTAACCCCTCTCTTAAGCTCTCTCATCTTCTTCATTCTCATCTTTGGAGGCATGTTAATATACCTCTCGAAAGAAATCACATGGTGCTCAGTTAGGAATGGAGCATTCATTGGATTTCCAATCACATATCTAGGATCATCTGAGTCTTTTAACGCAACTGAAACTCTTAAATTAGACGAAATCTGTAAATCAATTTTCATCTTCTTAACTTCCTTATCGTCTTGATTCTCTCGGGACATCATACTTGTAATAATTTGGCGCTTGAGTTCTTCATCTACCAAAATTGTTAAAAATATTACCTTCAGTGATATCCTCACTCTGGTGCCCATGCTGGTACCCTTTTGGCTTATAGAGATCATCCTTGATCTGCTGGTAGGCTTCGAAGCCATCAATATCTTTATTCTGGACTTGAGTTCTTTCCTTAAATAATTGATCAAAGTTTTGTCTGGAAGAGACCTTGGGTTGGCTATTTTTAGTATGAAAAATTACCTTGATTTATAAATATCATTCTTGGTCCCACTGCTTGGCTCACTTTTGGAGAGGTCAAGATCATCTTCCGTGAGGATCTTACAGTCTATTATTGTGTATTTCATCCGGATGTCTTCGTCCTCAACGCTATTGGGTTAGAGTCAAAGGCTTACTAGATTCTCCCCCCTAATCGATCGATGTCTCTTATACATTCCCTATAGGTGAAGATAGGCTAGAAATTTACCCTGAGATTTCAGGGAGTCAACTTCTTAGAGTTTATGGAAGTTAAGGGTTGAGTAAGAGAATAATACTTAAAATGAACGAGCAAATCATCCTCCAGTAAGAGCTTAATACATTATTTTTATAGACCTACCTGAGCTTAGGAACTAACATTGCGAGCCAGCACATTTCCTACATTGCCCTCTTTAATTCCTCTAATGAGTTCCCTAAATGGTTAAGCATGAGTATTACCTGTACGCGAATAGGAAAGGAGGAATCTTATTTATTACCCAATAAAATCTGTTTCTCTAACTTTCTTCTCTCGAAGAACCAGAGATTTGAACGAACTTTGCGAGTGTTCCCTCATCGAATTGGGAAATGTTTGATAGTGTAGTCTAAAATTCTTTCGAATTTCTGATCATCTGTGAGGTTTGATGAAGATTTCGAGCTGAAAAGAGCTACTCTTGGAGTTCATATGAAGGCATTTGACTGCAGTTTGATTCTTCTGAAACAGATATTCATAATTATTATGAGGCTGGGTTAATTTTTATACAATAATTAATTAAGTAATTGGGGTTTTGGGGTTTTGGGGTTTTGGGGTTTTGGGG